GGTGTCGCGGGGCAGAGTCGGCCCCCACTGTTTAAGGGGCCGTCCATAAATGACGTCAAGCGATTTTAGACGATTTTTGACCCCCTCCCCCCTCGTCACACGGCGTCACAAAAAGTCAGACCCCCCCCCCTTCTCAAAATGACGTCACAAAGCTCTGCCCCCCCCCCCCCAAAAAACACATGTTTCAAATCGCTTTAAACTATTGTCATTGTAGTGCGTATTTAATGTGGCGCTGCACTCTGATGTTGTAGGAGAAAACATTTATTAAAAAGTCTATTTAATTAAAGTTGCGCATTTTTATGTGACGTCACATTTCTGAAACCCCTCCCCCCTCGTCACACATCGTCACAAATGTCTGATTCCCCCCCCAGGTGCATGACATCATTTATGGTCGGCCCCTAAGGATCCTGGGATTCTCCGGAGATCCCCGGTCAATTAAAAGATCAACCCACAAGGCCGAGTGGAGAATAAACCCACAACACTGAGTAGAGATAACCCCACAACGCCGCGTGGAGATAAACCCACAACACTGAGTGGAGATAAACCCACAACGCTGCGTGGAGATAAACCCACAACACTGAGAGTAGAATAAACCCACAACGCCGAGTGGAGATAAACCCACAACACTGAGTAGAGAATAAACCCACAACACTGAGTGTAGAATAAACCCACAACACTGAGTAGAGAATAAACCCACAACACTGAGTGGAGATAAACCCACAACATTGAGTGGAGAATAAACCCACAACACTGAGTAGAGAATAAACCCACAACACTGAGTGGAGATAAACCCACAACACTGAGTGGAGAATAAACCCACAACGCTGAGTGGAGAATAAACCCACAACACTGAGTAGAGAATAAACCCACAACACTGAGTGGAGAATAAACCCACAACGCTGAGTGGAGATAAACCCACAACGCGGAGTGGAGAATAAACCCACAACAAACCCACAACGCTGAGTGGAGAATAAACCCACAACACTGAGTGGAGATAAACCCACAACACTGAGTAGAGAATAAACCCACAACGCTGAGTTGAGAATAAACCCACAACACTGAGTGGAGATAAACCCACAACACTGAGTAGAGAATAAACCCACAACGCTGAGTAGAGAATAAACCCACAACACTGTCCACTGCACGTACGCACGTTGAACTTCTTTCGCGCCGTACGTAGCCGACCGTGCCAATCGGAAGGTGCGTTGGGAAGGACAACTCAGACTGAAAAAACGGCGAGAGGTGGCGTGTGCGTGTGTGCGTGTGTGGATTTGCGTCGTGGCGCACAAGAAAAGGTTGGACGTCGAGGACACGTGTGTTTAGGAACTGCACAGATTAGCCAAAGCAAACATTGCACGAGCCGCAAGGAAGGCACTGAATGTCCCGGCTGTCCCGTTGGGAAATCGTTCAAAAGTGAAACCAATGCTTAATGGGTGCTGCAAACTCTTAAGATAACTTTCATTGCAAAGCACATGTCTTGCATTCCTCCTTAAACCCCCTCTGGACCTCCTCCCCCACACCACTCCTGGGTCGCCACTCTCGATAGAGCTTCTAGCTCAATGGGCCCTACACCCAGAGCGAACCAAAAACAATTTAAACTCAACCACATGGGGGGGGGGGGGCTAGAAAAGGTGACGGTATTAATATTCTTGGTTCTTTCGGTAAAGTCACGGAGAATGGAAATAATAAAATAATAATAAAATAACTTTTTTTATTCCATTCTACGTGACTTTACCGAAAGAACCAAGAAGATGAATGTTTTATTTTTTTTTATTTCCATTCTACGTGACTTTACCGAAAGAACCAAGAAGATGAATCCCTGCAGTCACGAAAGCTTTAAATCGAAAAGTGACGGTATTCATTAAGAGTCATATTTTGACTATATTCCGGGTTTGGCACGAGCATTCACACCCGAATAAAGTTGAAATGTAAATTTTACTCAAGGCTGCAGAAACATCAAATCAAAAGTACGTATTCATGATGCATGCTTGCGTAGCGCTGTAATGTGAGAGGTTGTACAATTCGCAGCCCCTTTTGCCAATCCACTGCTGGATGAAGGCCACCTCACATCACGCCCGTTCATGGGGGGTTGTTTGACCATACTTCACCGCGCTGGTCAGTGGCAGTTGGTGAAGGTTGGGGGGGGGAGGTACAGCCCAGGGTCAGTTCGGATATCACTCGCCACCTGATGTTAGCCATGGCCGGGTATCGAACTCAGGTAGTAGACTGACTCCCCTCACCCGCATGTGGTATTAATGCTTTATTCTGTCCCGTTACGAGGCGTCTGCACCGTTCACCGCTGAATCTCGGAACGCGGAAGTGTTATCGTTAATGTTATTTAGAGAGGCATAGCTCCGCTGTTTTTTATAGACATTGTTACTCACCGCAGAGAACTGTAGCGACACCACCGCACACTACGATAGCTGGCGCCAAACTGTGCCACACGCCCTCCCGCCTGGCCTTTTACTTCCGATTCATAAAAATAAAACTGATGACGTACATGCACGTCATGGGAATGGGACAGGGTTCAATTGCCCCACGACACTGAACTGCATTGACACTTTCGATTTAAAGCTTTCGTGACTGCAGGGATTCATCTTCTTGGTTCTTTCGGTAAAGTCACGTAGAAGGGCAAGTAATAAAATAATAAAATAAAACATAATAAAACAATTCTCACGACGTTTCGGCCACAACGCAAGCAGCCGTCCTCAGGTGAAAACCAGAATTGTTTTATTTTTATTATTTTATTACTTCCCTTCTACGTGACTTTACCTAAAGAACCAAGAAGATGCATTGAGACTGTTGAAGCGCTACCGCATCCTCGAGTCCTCGCTCGCTTGGGACGGAGTGACAGCATGAGCACACCAATGATGACGATAGCACGCGTTGGTCGGGAACCTCCGTGTTTATTTCAAACGTGTGTTTGTGTTTGTAAATCAACACTCGTCATTTCAGTCAAACACGAGTGGGTCTTAACGCGTCATGAGAGACGAAAGTCAATATCAACTCATACCCACACAAGAGGAGTTAAAAAAACAGTTTGAGGTGTAACGTTGCACTAATTCAGAATAATAATCGATTACATTTAGCATTCATACCATCGTGCCACCAGAGTGCCTTCGTGATTGCACGGCCGTCACGCAGGCACTGTGTTTGCACGAGACACGGTCTGCAGTAGTGTCACAGTAAGCGGGCGATGCTGCTGGGTGTGATCACAATTTTTTTTCTGTGTCATTTAACAAATATCTCATTTGGACCATGACGCCAGCACGGAATGGCCTGCTCGGTTTTTTTTGTCATGCCAGGGGGAATCTTTAACGTCCTCTGAGAAGCAAACGGGCCCCTCTTTGTCATGGTCAATACAGACCCCGCAGTGATCACCGGGGCGGCCTGCCAGCTTCGAACCGCGAGCCACCGCTGGGCCACGCAAGCCAAGTATGTCCGCATCGACTCGGTGTGCAATCGTCGTCAATACGGGCTGCCCACCCTTCCTCCTCCCCTCGTTGTCCTCCCACTCGCACGAACGCCGCCTTCCCTGTCCCCGACTTCCCGTGGTCACTACCCATCGTCAATCCACTCGTCTCGTCTCCATCTACGTGTATTCCACGCATCGTCACCACCACCACCTAATTTTACATAAATCCCTTCCACTCATCTGGTTTCATCTCGCCAATCACCTTCTACCATGGTTAGTTCATTGTACAGCGCCTCGGTTAAGGCGATGTATAAACGTACGATAAGATAATTATCCATCACTTTGATTCACGTTGTGGTGCAATGGGCTTCAAAGCAGCTCCATTCCAGCCACTAGAGGACGCCTGCATCTTGTAAAAAAAAAATCCGTTATGAAATCGAATGGTGACCTCGAATCGTGACCCTGAGTGGTGAATCTCTATACCCTTAGCTATGTCAACAAACATAAAATACACGAGCAAAGCATACGAATTGCCAACACTGTAATGTTTTGATCAAAGAAGCCACGATACTCGTTGTTCCACGCCCTTATTACATGTACGTATGTTGAACTTCTATCGCACCGTACGTAGCCAACCGTGATAATCGGAGGTGCGGGGGGGGAGGACAACGAACTAAACGCGCACAAAATAAACCATGAAATATAATCTACAATATAAATAAGCCGTCTGTGTGCTTTTATTCATTTATTTACACAACATTCAGCTGCCGAATCCAGGGTATTCTCATTCAGTTCGGGCTCTCGGGTGCATGAGAGCTAACTCTAATGCACAGTGCAACGTCGCATATCCGACCGTCACTTATCCGCCCTGACCAATCAGCCGCTCTCGAACCCAGTGCAGAATGCGCGCACAGTCTAGCCGATATTTTCTGTAGACGTTCACAATTACGACCTCTTCACACACAGAGAAATATTCTTAAATCCCGCGTACATGCAGCCGTAGCTTCAGCCGCACCAACCTTATCATAATAATAATAAAAACTCCTATCCAGGGGCCTACCCTGGCTCCTCCCCTCTCAACCAGTATATATACAAGGTCGGATCTCTTAGAATTTCTCATTTACTTGATACAGCAAGCGTGCTGTGACGGTTCCACCTGAAGACGGAAGCTTGTGTTGCCTCCGAAACGTCGTGATTTTTTATTTATTTTACTTTTATTAATTTTATTAATTTTATTTTTTTACCTACGTGACTTTACCGAAAAAACCTAAGAATATGCAGTCACTTCTAGAGCGCGGCGAAGCGCGTTCCTACATTCAAAGCAATCTGCTTTTTGTTATTGTCCAGCAACTTAGTTGTGCCTGCTGGCTGTAACTGTCATCTTCGATAGATGTTCAAATAGCCGACATTCACGCATATTCGCCTACACTTCAGGCACCTCATCGAGCCGAATATGCGACATTGCACCGCACGTGCACTTTACTGCTGGTAACGGCACGCCACAAAACCTGTCCTGGCTTAAGAATAATTGTGGAGTGGCGCCATGTCAGTCATAGACGGCGTCTCTGAGGCAGCACAGTGGAAATGTGAGCAATTAAAGAATGGTCGGTTTAGAATTGACCGCGTGGCTCAGAGAACAGGAGTAGACACCACTGACCTCTTGTGTTGGAAGCCGGGTTTCAACCACCCGTAGTTAAAAAAAAAAGTCTCGCAAATTTACGGTCTCAGCACGATCACCATTGAGTGCATAGAAGAATTAAAAAAAACATCCATCACGTGAAATTTATTTGGTGCAAAAAATATCCATCTCGGAGAATCATTTTTTTTTCAGTCAGATTTACTTTCCCATGACAATTTATCTCTATTGTGGGGCGAGTGGGAACCTATGGCAAGCCCAAGTACGGGGAACGATGTCAATTTTAAAAGATCTCAGACGTAGTTCTGTCATGTCACCTTCCACAAGTCATTCTTTAACATGGGGGTGACGCAACCGCTTTGCAGGAGTTACAAACGGACACAGAAAAGTCTCACAGCTTGGTGCCAAGAGCACAGATTTCTAGTAAAATTAAGGGGGGGGGATTGGCAAATGATGCTTTGAATTCAAAGAACAATCACGTGTTCAGCTCGGTAAATATCTGAAATCTAAACTCGACATTACATTTAAATCATCATGCGGTAAGAAACAAATGTTGGCTAGAGCTTACCAACTTGTGACAAAACACCTTTGTCAAATTGTACGATTATTTTGCGTTCGGTGGACTTATTTAATCGCCCCAACTTCGGAGCAATTTCGACCCAAGAGGAGCAAACGCATTCACGTTGACTCCACTTTTTAAAAATAAATGTTCCAGCGCGGATATCTTACAGAGAATATCAGAGGTATGGCCAACGCAATTTAATAATGTATTCACTAGACGCATCGTTAGTACCTTAGATACACGTGTGGAAGAATATCGGTTGAAATAATCTCATATTAGTAAAAAAACTTTTATTTTAAAGGTAAATATTTGTAAGTTGAACACGATTTATCCATTATTCTGACTGTTGCCTGATGAGGCTGGTTGTAATTACCAGTGAAACGTCGAATTGTAAATGTTGTGGGTTTACTCTCCAACACACCGGTGTGCTGAACTAGTAACTAATTGGCATGTTTCATTTCCATGACCTGTGTTTGGGTCGTGGCGGTTTTAACAACACATTGATATGTACGCGATTTAACCCCCAAAAAACCCCTCTATTTCGGATAAATATTTGTAGATGCGAGCATAAAAATGTGATTGCGCAGATCGTTTCATCAATGTCACTTCTCAACTTTGTCAAGTAAATCGACCTAACCTTCGTGTGAATGTAGACGGTGGGTTTATAGTCATTGAGACGGTGTTACAGACGGGCACGGTCAAAATGACCGGCTCGTGTTTCTAAGAAAGCAACACATTGTGGAGGTGGCCTCGTGTCTCACAAGTTCAGAGCACTTAAACCGGCACCGCTGATAATCCCGGGTTCGAATCCAGGCGGCCGCCCAGTGTGTAAACTGTGTTCTCCAAGTGTAGCGGAGTTGATGAGTCTCACACTGATCACCAATTACTAAATGCAGAAGAACAACAACAAAAAAAGGACGGCAACGTTAAATTTGCTCGTGCACTTCATTCGGCTCAATTCCAGCGATGAGAATCAGCGAAAGTGGTTCGCGATAGCCTTGCGACGATCATTATTCTCGCGAAGTTTACGCGTATCTCTCGCCGTGGTTGAGTGCATTGCTTTCTCCGAGCCCTCCGTTTTTTCCCTCCACACTAAGAAGCATTCGTCTATATTATTTAGATTCTTTTGCTGCAATAAATTTCCATGCGATAAGCCAACGTCATTGAGCTATCATTCGTGCTCCTTGGTTCTTTCGGTAAAGGCACATAGGTAGAAAATAAATTAAATCACGCCGTTTCGGGCGCAACACAAGCGTCCGTCATCAGGTGGGACAACCACCTGATGACGGACGGTTCATACACCCGCAGTATTCACCAGGCCGGTCTGCCAGATTCGAACCACGAGCCTCGGCAGCAAGCGACGAACGCACACAACGAACCGCATTTGCCCACCAATGATGATGGCACGTACAGTCTCCTCTGTGAATTAACCATAACCCCGGATGTGTCAAGGATGCATCGTAATTCATGAGTTGATAGATAGACAGACTGACTGACAGATGCGCCCCAAATTATGGACAAACAGATGGATGGCCAGACTTGCAAAAACACATATAGACAGAGGAATCAGATGGATGGACAAAAAGTTAACAGATACACACAGATCGACAGACAGATCAACAGATGTATGGATAGGCAGACACACACACACGGATGCACAAATGGGCAGACAGACGAATCGCTCGACAGATAGATACGGACCCACAAACTTACAGATGGACAGACAGATACATACATATGGACGGACAATATGCCGAACGCACAGACGCACACGCGACGACACTCAAACGGACGGACGAACGGTCAGACGACCGGATGGACGGGCGGACGATAGGCGGTCGCGCGGACGGACGACGGAACGAGAGCGACTCACGTTTGGACCGGCATCATCGGTGGCATGGCCCCACCCGCCACGTGCTGCTGGTAGCCGGGGTGGTACGGCGCAGTCCCGTAAGGCCCTCCTCCAAGCCCCGGGTAGCCGCCCATCGGGAAGGGAGAGCCGTGGGCGTACGGGACACCGGACTGAGGCCAGCCGGGGAAGCCGATGGGCGGCAGTGGCGGCTGCGGGGGACCGTAGTGGTGGTGGTGAACGCCCGGCTGCTCGGGCGAGGAGTCCTGCGGAGAAGCGATTGACGCACAAAAACAGAGGTCACCCCACCCGTACGTGTGCGTGCGTACGTCGAACTTATTTCGCCACCGTACGTAGCCAACCGTGCTAATCGTAGGCTGCGGGGGGGGGAAGGACTACGAACTGAAGACAAAAAATTTGGATAGGCGGACTGAACGCAAAAATATGGATAGCCTTAAAGAACAGCCCGTTGGGGCAAGTGCTGTGAGCGAGTGTGAGCACCTGTGGAGGCCAGAACGGCACACGAGGGAATGGGTGGCCAGCAACACGCCCGGCCACCTTTGTATCCCTGTTGGCCCAACGTTGACCCAACGTTGACCCAATGTTGGCCCAACATTAACCAAACGTTGCCCCAACGTTGGCCCAACAAGGTCCCACGTTCCCACGGTACGATTGTCACACAACGTTTGACGAACGCCGGGGCGGGTCGTGAGCATGACACGTGCCGTGCCGTGGCGAGGCGCTGACCTGTGGGACGGCGCGTGCCGGGGTCGGCGCTGGTGCCGGCATGGCCTTGAGCATCATGTTCTGCATGACCACCTGGTGCATCTGGGCGTTCTGCATCATCATGAGGTCCACCATGTCTGTGGGTGCAGTTGATTGACAAATGGCTGTAAATTGTCATAACTGTGACGAACATTACGCCGCAGCCTATAGCCAATATTTTAATGAACCGCAACATTCACAAACATCTGTTCGGGCTTTTGCCTCGGGTATCTTGATCGCGCGCGTGAACGCATCCGCCAAGTGATAGAGGCGCAAAGGCCGCCAAATAAAAGCGCCCCGGTATGAAAGGCCATTTCGAATTTTTGCACAACAGGTTTACCGAAACACAACCGTCAACACCCGCAGCCGCGACCGACAACGATGTCTGCATCACATGGGGCCCGACTACCGTTGGGTCACCAGGCAACCGATCGGCTCAACGCACAACGATCAACAAAGGCGGTGATTGAGTGACTGTGCGTCTGTGTGCGTCTGTGTGAGTGTGTGTGAGTTTTGTAGTGGGGAGCGGTGGTGTAGCGGTTAGCGCGTTGCGCTATGAACCCGGAGACACGGGTTCGATTCCCGCTCACGGCCAACACCAGTGACGATTATCTGAACCGGTCCTGAGCCTCCCCTAGGTCGACTCAGCCTGAAATGAGTACCTGGTGCGGTGTGTAAACATCGCCACTGGGGAGACAAAGGCGGCCGGGGCTGGTGCTGGCCACCCACCCCTTCGTGTACCGTTCCGGCCTTCATAGGTGCTCGCTAAAGGCATTTGCCCCTACAGTCTGTTAAGGCTATAGGGGGATCTTTTGTCTGTGTGTGTGTGAGTTTTGTAGTGGGGAGCGGTGGTGTAGCGGTTAGCGCGCTGCGCTATGAACCCGGAGACACGGGTTCGATTCCCGCTCACGGCCAACACCAGTGGCGATTATCTGAGCCACTCCTGGGCCTCCCCTAGGTCTACTCAGCCTCAAATGAGTACCTGGCGCAGGGTGTAAAAACATCGCCACTGGGGTGACAAAGGCGGCCAGGCGTGTTGCTGGCAACCAATTGCCTCGTGTGCCGTGCCCAGCCTTCACAGGTGCTTGCTAACAACACTTGCCCCAACAGTCTGTTAAATGCTATATAGGGGATCTTTGTCTTTTCTGTTTGAAACATCTGCTGGGGAGCGGTACGACCATGGTTCAATTTCCTGGCCACGGCCAATATCAGTGGCGAGTGAAATGTCAATTACCCTCTATCGATCCGCACTGACCAGCGTGGTGAAGTATGGTCAAACAATCCCTCCATGATTGACACGGCGCGGGAAGGCCAGCATCCATCGGTGGACTGACAAAGGGCTGGAATTTAATTAATCCTTTATTTATTTTGGTACTAATTCGCCAAATAGGAATGCAAACTGTTCAGAAAGTTGTAAAAAAAAATACGCAAATGTTGCCTTTTATTTTTTTCCACGATAAAAATGTGTCCGATGATGTCTCTCTCCCGCGTATTATTTATACATTCTAAATGGGTTGTCCTGCCGGACTGAGTTAAACCCCAGGTCCCCCTTGAGCCAGAGACTGCCGGTCTCAATGGACTCTCACCTGCCGCTCATGAAGGGCATCTCTGTGAGTCTACGAGCCTCTATGTGCACGACCATGGGTGTTTATGTAAGTTTATGGGTTGCTATGCAAGCCTATGGGTCTCTAGCTAATCAAGCACTCTTTATGGCTTTTTCAGTGTATGGGTCTTTACGTACGTATGTTTATGGCTCTCTCTGGGTGTGTATTGGTCTCTATTTTACATTTATGTGTCTTTATATGTCTATCAGTCAGTTTAAGTCTAATGGCCTCTATGTAAGTCGACTGGTCTATGTATAAGTCTACTGATCTCTATATAAATCTCAGGGGTTTTGCTCAACTTATTTAATTCCAGTTCTCCCTCATTGAGTTCTTATCAGGTCGTAAATATACGTCTACCATAATTGTTTTCACAACTTGGGTCCCACTGATGTGTCGAGCGTGCTGAGGTGTTGCGGAACTCACTGAGACGCTCCATGAAATTACAATCGAACATCGCACGGTACCGTAATGCACCCACCACACATTGTGTGCAGGAAGCATGGTGGGGGGGACCACGGTGGCTCGGAGATGATAACTACCTCGCCCGGTATACAGGAAGTTGTGGGTTCGATCCTGCCCCTGACTCCTCTACGTTAGGAGTTTGCATGTTCTCCCCGTGATCGGCGTGGATTTTTCTCCGGATCCTCCGGTTTTTCCCTCCACATTTATAGACATGCATTGAGAGTATTCGGCTGCTGTAAATTTCTGCATGATAAGCCCACTTCGCCGAGCTATCATTTTTGATAGGCAGGTCGTTTCTGAAAAAGAGCTACATAGCTCAGTGGGGCCTTACCCGGTAAGATACAAAAAAAATAGTTTAGTTTTAGTTTAAAATGGGTTGTACGTGCAAAACGTGTGCATCGTCGTTATCGCTATCGTCGTCGTTGAGATGAGAAGACACGGGTGGAGCAGAGACGCTCGCGAACCTTCTTTGATGTTGCCCGAGCGCAGTGGAGGTAGCGGTGCCGGCCCCGCGATCTGCTGGATCAGCGGCTGTGGAGGCATCTGCTGGATGATGGTGGTGGGCTGCTGCGGCATCTGTAGGCGGGCGCAACGTTCCGTTCGCTCACTCCGCTCGCTCGCTCGCTCGTCGGTCGACGAGGCTGCACTTCTTCGAATCGATAACCATCACCGTAATTTTTCCGCGTGTTTGTATGTACGTATGTTGAATTTCTTTCGCACCGTACGTAGCCAACCGTGCTAATAGGAGGTGTGGGGGAAGGACAATGAACTAAGCACAAAGAGCAGTTCTTAAGAAATGAGTTTGCAATCTAGATTTAAAAGTGCATAGGTCCATTGACTTCCTAATATAGGAAACGTTTGATATTTGTGCTACCCCTATGGTCATCGGTGTGTTTCGTCACAGTCTGCAATAGTTTCAGAGAAGGAGGGCTATGCCGTGCTATGTGTAAGACCAATTGAATAGTTCGCAGGCAGCTGTCAAAAAATTGGACTACGACACCAACACACAATGGCCTACTCTTTTCGAATGATGTCACGGGATCTTTAACATCCACTGTGAAGCAGATGACGCGTGGTATTCACTAAACTTTTTTTTACCAGGTAAGACCCAATGAGCTATATCGCTCTTTTTCGGAAGCAACCTGGCCACAAATGACAACTCAACAAAGTGGCTTGTCACGTGGACATTTAAAGCAGCCAAATGTGGAGGGAAAAGGGAGAGAAAAATCCACATTCCAAATATACGGCGTCAGGGTCGGGATCGAACCCACGACCTCCTGTATACGAGGTGAGGTAGTTAACATCTCATAGCCACCGTGGCCCTTTTATGGTTACTACACCCGCAGTAATAACCAGGGCGGCCAGTCGGGTTGGAACCGCAGGCGGTGAATGCATTACAGCTGGGCCATGTCACCTGCTCCATTTCAACTCTATGCCCGTAAGTGCATTAATAAATGTTCAAAAAATATTCGTAAGAGTTCACGTGATTTAATTTTCAATGAGCATTGAGGCGGTGCTCATCTGTTTAAATGCGTGCGACAAGGGGTAGTAATTCCACATTGCTATGGCAGGAGAAAGTTGATCCACAACACAACCACTTTTGAATTCCCCACAAAGCGGCACTCATTTTATCGACCCACGGAGGAATGATCGGCTGAGTCACGCCCCAACCAGAATTTGAAAACTCGCAATCGAGCCACCCGGACACATTTCTAAAATATTAATTGACAAATAATTTTTGCGAGGTCAGCTCTGCGTGTGTGTGGGTGTGCCCGGCAGCGGGAGGAGCGTAGTGACTACCGCGCTGCGCTATGAACCCGGCGAGCCGGGTTCCATTCCCGCTCACGGTCAACGCCAGCGATAACGATTATCTGAACCGGCCCTGGGAGTGGTGTTGGCCACCGATCCCCTCTTGCACCGTGTCAGCCTTGATGCGGTGCACTCGCTCACAGCCCTTGCCCCAAACAGTCTGTTCGTCTTCGTGGGGAATCAGGATGCATCGTCGCATCGGAAGACCGCGATGGACAACCGCCGACGACGACGACCGACCGACCATTCCCGCGCGCACGACGCAGCGGCTCTCACCTGCTGCTGGATGATGCGAGGCGCCTGCGGAGGAGCCTGCTGGTAGATGTGGATCGGCTCCAAGCGCGGCGCGGCGGTGGCGGGCGGCGGCGGCGGAGGCGGCGGCGGCGGCAAGTAGCGCGGGGCGATGAAGGGCACGAAGCGCGGCACCACGACGGGAGGCGTGAAACGCTGCCGCCTCCGGCTGTCCCCGCGCGAGCGTGGCCGCGACATCTCGTCCAGCATGTGCTGCTCCTGCTCGCCGCCACGACGCCAGAGTCAATCCGCCGCCGGACGAGAGCCCCCCCCCCCCCCCCCCGCGCCTGCGAAACTCCTCAAGGCAATCTTGATTTTAAGCTTTCGTGACTGCCGGAATCCATACTCTTTGGTTCTTTCGGTAAAGTCACACGTTAGGTAGAAAGTAAAATATGTCGCGACGTTTCGATCGCAACACAAGCGGTCGTCCTCAGGCGGTCAAAATATAATCCAGCAGTGGAGCTGATGGACCAGCAACTTTGTTGCGCGAGGGTTCTTAGCGTTCGGTTCGAGGGTCGAACGGATTCGCAGCTCGAGTGAGCAACGGGTACGCGTTTAGTTGGAGGTCGGAGCGGTGGGGGGGAGGGGGGGCGGTGGGTAGGGAGCGAGGGTTGCTGGGCCGTGAGAGGATGGGGACCGGTCGGAGGGGCCCCCTCTCACCCGCAGGCGGTGTAGCAGGTCCTTGCGACGCCTCAGGGCCCCGTGGAGGGCCTCCTGGTTCCCGTCACTGCCTGCAGGAGGAGGCACCGACACACGGCAACCCGTCAGCGCGCGACGCAAGCGCCACGCGATATTGAGAATGGCCATTGGCCGAAACGTCGCCGATTCAACGCCGTGGTTTTTTTTTTCTCCTTTCGGAGGCGACAGTGCGGCTGATGAATGCGCCGAGTCGTTGTTTAGATTTAAAGCTTTCGTGACTGCAGGGATTCATCTTCTTGGTTCTTTCGGTAAAGTCACGTAGAAGGGAAATAATAAAATAATAAAAATAAAATATATTTTATTATGTTTTATAATAAAATAATAAAAATAAAACATATTTTATTATGTTTTATTTATATTATTTTATTATTTCCCTTCTACGTGACTTTACCGAAAGAACCAAGAAGACGAGTTGTTGCTGTTTGTGCTTTTGCGTCACCGCTGGCAACGCAGCAGCATCGCCGAATAATTGGTTCGCTCTACGTGAAGAGACATCATCGTCGTCAGTAATGTCTAACGCTTTCCACCGAGATCATGTTAAAAGAGTTGATCAATTACACTCTGTCCGTCCGTCCATCTGTCTGTAACGCGACAGGGGTGAGGGGCATGAGTCAGGAGTTGAACCCAGGTCCTTCTCGCTGCGAGGCACGGGCGTCACCACTTTCACACCCTGTGGCTCGTTATTCCATTTATGCGTGTCCACGATTTTTCATTCACTTGCTATTGCCTTATTTATTCAGCTTGCAGCCACCGTTTGTCAATCCACTGCTGGATGAGGGCCTCTCCACGCTGCGTGTGTCCGTAATGACCATACTTCACCACCACTCTGGCGAGCCAGGTTCGGTGAATAACGTGTGCTTCAAAAAAATGTTAACACTTCCGAGAATTTGCAACGAAATGTGCTCTAGAGACGACCTGCAGAAGATTCCAGGCACGTGTTGACAATGATGGCGAACAAGTCGTAGACTAAATTTTTATTTAAAGCTTTCGTGACTGCGGGGATTCATATTCCTGGTTCTTTCGGTAAAGTCGTGAGAATTTTATTGTTTTATATTTTTATTATTTTATTATTTCCCTTCTACGTGACTTTACCGAAAGAACCAAGAATAAGTCGGAGACTCTTCGACTTTTTAAAGCTATTAACATACATTTGTTATCACGTTACAGTGTATATTTTCCAGTATTTTACCATTAAAAACTATAGTACCTATTTAAGTGTTAACATTTTTCTGAAGCACCCTGTACGCAGGGTATTTAGAGGATGGGAGAATAGAAGTGGAGTGACAACTATTGATGTAGCTGCCACCGCCCTCTGAAGCAGCCTATAACACCTGTTTCCCGCATGGTGGTCGCCCATCCATCCAAGCTCGATCAACCAGGCTCAACCCTGATCGCTTCTTACAGGATCTGACGACATCATGCAATACGGGGAGAGGAAAAAGCCTCCCAAATAACTTGGGCACAGCACTTTCTTCAGCTGAAGAGGAAAATGGACTGCACTTCTATGCTCCCTGATCCCAAATTCTCTTTGCCTTTACCAAACAATCCCCAAGACCGACATGGCGTCGGTCATCCAGCAATGCACTGACAAAGAATGGTGATTTGTGGTGCTTGAGTGTGGTGGTGGTGGAGTGTGGTGATGGTGGTGGAGTGTGATTGAATGTGGCGATGGTGGTGGTGATTGAGTGTGACGATGGTGGTGGTGATTGAGTGTGGTGATGGTGGTGCTGATTGAGTGTGGTGATGGTGGTGGAGTGTGATTGAGTGTGATGATGGTGGTGGTGATTGAATATGGCGATGGTGGTGGTGATTGAGTGTGACGATGGTGGTGGTGATTGAGTGTGGTGATGGTGGTGGTGATTGAGTGTGGTGATGGTGGTGGTGATTGAGTGTGGTGATGGTGGTGGTGATTGAGTGTGGTGATGGTGGTGGAGTGTGATTGAGTGTGATGATGGTGGTGGTGATTGAACATGGCGATGGTGGTGCTGATTGAGTGTGACGATGGTGGTGGTGATTGAGTGTGGTGATGGTGGTGGTGATTGAGTGTGGTGATGGTGGTGGAGTGTGATTGAGTGTGGTGATGGTGGTGGTGATTGAGTGTGGTGATGGTGGTGGAGTGTGATTGAGTGTGATGATGGTGGTGGTGATTGAGTGTGGTGATGGTGGTGGTGATTGAGTGTGGTGATGGTGGTGGTGATGGAGTGTGGTGATGGTGTGTGGTGAAGGTGGTGATGTGTAGTTATGGTGGTGATGGAGTGTGGTGATGCTGGTGGTGGTGATGGAGTTTGGTGATGGAGTGTGGTGATGGTGGTGATGGTGATGGAGTTTTGGTAATGGAGTGTGGTGATGGTGGTGGTGATGTTGTGTGGTGAAGGTGGTGGTGATGGAGTGTGGTGATGGTGGTGATGGAGTGTGGTTAAGGTGGTGGTGATGGTGTGTGGTGATGGTGGTGATGGTGTGTGGTGAAGGTGGTGGTGATGTTGTGTGGTGAAGGTGGTGGTGATGGAGTGTGGTGATGGTGGTGATGGAGTGTGGTTAAGGTGGTGGTGATGGTGTGTGGTGATGGTGGTGATGGTGTGTGGTGAAGGTGGTGATGTGTAGTTGTGGTGGTGATTGAGTGTGGTGATGGTGGTGGTGACTGAGTGCGATGATGGTGGTGGTGGTGGTGATGGTGGTGGTGATTGAGTGTAATGATGGTGGTGGTGATGGTTACGACCACTGGAGGTGGCCGTGCTAAGTCCGTCCTCCCGTCCCTCCCTTTTCTGCTCCAGTTTCTGAGAACACAGCACAGAGAGAGGGGGGGGGGGGCTCTGGTTACACAGACGGTGCAGGGGACGGGGGCTGCACAGGCTGCGGCATGGATACCGTGCAGGAGACATTGCGAACGTCCCCGCGAGGAACGTCAGCGCCACGTTGCGGCCAAAGAATGAATACGCGACGTGTAAACACACGCCTCGCCTAAGGGACCAGTCCATAAATGACGTCACGCACCTAGGGCGGGAGGGGGGGTCAGACATTTGTGACGAGGGGGGGTTTGAGAAATGTGACGTCACATCAAAATGCGCAACTTTAAATAAATATAGACAAAACGTTCTACTTAATTAAATAGACGTTTTAATAAATGTTTTCTCCTACAGCATCAGAATGCAGCGCCACATTAAATACGCACTACAATGACAATAGTTTAAAGCGATTTGAACATTTTTTTTTACACCTGAAGACGGCTGCTTGCGTTGTAGCCGAAACGTCGTGAGAATTATTTTATTATGTTTTATTATTTATTATTTATTACTTCCCTTCTACGTGACTTTACCGAAAGAACCAAAAGACGATTTGAAGCATGTTTTATTTTTTGAGGGAGGGGGGGGCAGAGCTTTGTGACGTCATATTTGAGGGGGGGTCTGACTTTGTGACGCCGTGAGACGAAGAGGGGGGGGGTGTCAAAAATCGTCCAAAATCGCGTGACGTCATTTATGAACGGCCCCTAACACAACACACGAATACACAACGTGAAAAAGCGCGCCTCGCCTACACAACCGCGTTGTCTAAAGGCGAGAACATGTAATCTCTGTGTGTGTGCAATGTTGTACTTCTTTCCCACCGTACGTAGCCAACCGTGCTAATCGGAGGTGCTGTGGCGTTCCTAATCTCGGGGGGTGTGGGGGGGGCAGACGGAATCTGGGGGAGGGTGGGTCGGTAGTCAATACAAATACTGTCAGTCCTCGACTTACGAACAAGATTCGTTCCTGAGCCCCTTCCGTAAGTCGAACGGTTCATCAGTCGAACACAATAGTTTACTGTATTTAAACGCCCAAAGGCAAAGATCCCCCGTATATCCTCAGCAGAATGTTGGGGCAAGTGCTGTTCGCGAGCACCTATGAAAGCTGGAATGGCACACGAGGGGGTGGGTGGCCAGCACCACGCCTGGCCGCCTTTGTCTCCCTAGTGGCGATGTTTTTACACACCGCACCAGGGACTCATTTGAAGCTGAGTAGACCTAGGAGAGGCCCAGGACCATCACCGGAGTTGGCCGCGAGCGGGAATCGAATTCGGGTCGCCAGGTTCGTAGCGCAGCGCGCTAACCACTACACCACCGCTCCCTACAAAATGTGAATGCCCACACAACACAAACCCTCACTCCCAGCGCGAGGCTGACTCATTACATCTCGCGGAGAATCCCTCAGCTGATCAAAATAGTTCGGTTTGCAAGTGCGAGTTCGAGTTTTAAGTCAATGTAAAAAAAAAGCATGGTAGTTGGTTCGTAAGTGCAGGTGTTCTTAAGTCGGCGACTGTCTTAATTGACAACCACTGTGTTAAGCGGGGCCATTAGAGGTGTAATGATTGATTGATTCGTCGAGTGCTGTACTTATGTCGATTCTATAAAACGAATCGCGTGTGAGAACCAGGGACCATCTCTTAAAGAGAGGGCCCTTGCCGAATTACGTCGAGCAGGTCACCAGAATTGATTCGAGCAAGTCTGACCGCGCTAAAGAGACACTGCGTGTCGAAACCGGTACAGAGTTTGCCTCTACCGCATCGATCCTGGCGAAACTACGCACTCCCAGAAGGTCGTGGGCCGATGGTTTTGCGTGACAAATATTTTTTGTATTTAATTAGTATGTGCCGAGACGGATTATATGGGGCTCCACTGTTGCGAGATTTTGACTCACTCGCCTGGTATATAGAAGATCGTGGGTTCGATCCCAATCCTGACGCCTGCTGTATATTTGGAGTTTGCATGTTCTCCCCGTGGTCGCGTGGATTTTTTCTCCGGGTCATCCGGTTTTTTTCTCCGGGTCATCCGGTTTTTTTTCCATCCACATTTAAAATCAACATCACGCGTTTCCACATGGCAAGCCGCTTCGGTGAGCGTTCATTTGTGGGCAGGTCGCTTCTGAAAAAGAGCTCTATAGTTCAGTGGACCTGACCTGGTAGAATAATCATAGTTTATTTTACGTGAATCAGACAATTTGCTTATCTGTCGTGGTAACAAAACGGTTTTTTCTCATGTCCCCACGTTACGAGTGTGTACAAAGTGTGCGCCGTGGGCAGTAGGAGGCAGTGCAGCAAATCCATTGTTGGTGGATTTTAGAATTATCCCATCGCGGAATCGTCGAGAGAGAGCAACAGCTTTAGGAGACCTAGACTAATCAATCAATGAATAGTTCCGTTGATGGAGGACAACTGATTTGTCTTCTTCTTTAAACTACGTGCCATGAAGAAGGGCCATTGCCCAAAACGTCGCCAGCTATTTTACCATAGGGGCCGTCCATAAATGACGTCACGCACCTAGGGGGGGGGGGCGTCAAATATTTGTGACGATGTGTGACGAGGGAGGGGGGTTTGAGAAATGTGACGTCACATCAAAATGCGCAACTTTAAATAATTATAGACAACACGTTCTACTTAATTAAATAGACTTTTAATAAATGTTTCTCCTACAGCATCAGAGTGCAGCGCCACGTTAAAAACGCACTACAATGACAATAGTTTAAAGCGATTTGAAGCATGTTTTTTTTGGGGGGGGGGGGGCAGAACTTTGTGACGTCATATTTGAGAGAAGGTCTGACTTTTTGTGACGCCGTGTGTGACGAGGGGGGGGGGGTCAAAAATCGTACCAAATTCGCGTGACGTCATTTATGGACGGCCCCATATCTCGTGGATCTGCACATTCATCGATCCATCTCTCGGCGCCATCTGCGCGGTGCTGGACGTCATCTCTCGGGCGTAATTCACGACTCTGGATGCCGCTCCGCCCTTAAAGTCTCGACCACCAGCAGCCATTTATCGTCTAACTTTCCTATGCAATGCGTCCCTGACTTGCGTGTGTTCTCTCTGATCCACGTGATTGAGTGGCGTCTATTAAACAACAAAGTTCCCCAGGAACGTCGTCCAGTCGTCACTGGGCAGGATATGGATATATACGATCAAACATTTCAGGATCAGAATCTCTGTTTATACTGGAGGAATCCGATGAGCTATGAAGCTCAGTTAAACACGACGGCTTTTGCGACCATAATATTGGTCGCATCAATGTACGCGATCTAACCTAATAACCACTATTTACCTGTAAATGTACGCAATCTAACCCAAAAAAAACTCTTATGGAGCGATGGTGCTCGTTTTCACAGCTGTCCAGTGTTTCACGTGTCCAGTATTTCACAGATGTCCACTGTAGACGCATATACCGTGTGTGTGTATATATACAGCGCATACACACGCGCGCTGTGTCTATTAAAACGAAGTGAGAGCCCATTGCGACAATCGCCTCTTTTGCAAGGGAGACCTGGGATTGCCAGCATTGCGAGTGTGTTCTCGAATGTCACGTGTGAAAACCTTAACCATCCTTACCCTTACACCATTGGAACCTCATTTGCCAGTAAAAAATATGATAATTGGTTTTTTACCCTTCTATCTGGCAACAAAACTGACACCTTTTTTACAAGGAGTCGTGTTTGCATAGACTACAATACCTGCAGTCATTATGCAAACAAAAAAACATAACTCTGATAATATATGCACTGTCCTGGAAGTTGATTGGTCCACACCCGAGACAGCTTTCCTTAGAGCCTAGTCTCACATGGGTTGGACCAGATGACGCCAAAAGGCGCACAACTCAAAGACAATGCACCATCAGAGTATGAGAGCTCGGGGTAAAGCATTTACACCATTGGAACCTCATTTGCCAGTAAAAAATATGATGAAAAATTTTTACTCTTCAATCTGGCAACAAAAATTACACCTTTTTTACAAGGAGTCATAATAATGCATTATGACTGCAGGTATTGTGGTCTATGCAAACATGACTCCTTGTAAAAAAAGGTGTCTGTTTTGTTGCCAGATATGTAGTGGTGATACGCGCTGGGGTAGGGATCGTGTGCCAGCGCGTAGTGATTGGCTGTGTATGTGGTGACGCGCGCTGACGGTGGAGGATCAGGGGTCAGAGCGGGGTCGTGGGTTACGTGGTGCTGATTGGCTGTGTGCCGGTGATGCGCTGAGAGGGAGTGATCGGGTGGCAGCGCGGTGTGATTGGTTGAGTAGTGTTAACACGCGCTGGGGAAAACGGATCGTAGAGATAGCGCGTCGTCATTGGTTAACTAAGGAGCGATGCTCACGTCGACGTCCGCATCAGCTCCGTCTCCCGTGAGCAGGGGCTATAAAAGGGGATGCACACAGGCGTAAATGCAGTATGTAACCAGCGAAGAACGAAGACGGGGATCGAAGAGATAGGGCCCTGCGGTACCTAGTCCCGCTGTCCTAACGGGACCGGGACTCTGTGTAACCCAGAGGCGAATGCATTGTGTGTAGCCATAGGCATAGGGTCTACACGAGTTGAATGCATGGTGTGTAGCCAGAGGCATAGGGTCTACACGAGTCAAGTGCATTGTGTGTAGCCAGAGGCATAGGGTCTACACGAGTCAAGTGCATTGTGTGTAGCCAGAGGCATAGAGTTACACAAGTTATGTGGAGTGTATAGTCAAAAGAATAGAGACCACACGTTGTATTGTGACACGACAAGATTTAATAAAAGTGTGTTACCCGTCAAGAAGTTCCTGCCGTCATTTCCAATACTTCAACTGGCGTCAGAAGTGAAACGGTCTTCCAAGCATGGATACAAGGAAGACCCGTCGGACCCACGGGATTGACCGCGGGGACAACCTTGACGACTCGGGCCAGCTGGCATCGGGGGGTGAGGACGAAGAATTGCCCACGCTGCAGGATCCGCCGACGGCGCCGGACGAGCGACGGGGGACCGATGCCGTGCTCCGCGAGG